AACCATTCTGTGATTCTATGGATCAGTTCAACAAATACAAAAGGAAAAGATCACATTGGACTGCTTCAAGTTAATGCATTGTGTACTGACCAACTGAATTCCCTTTATACATGGAAACTCTCATTCTTGTAAAAATTGTTCCTGTAATTGATTTGCACAAATCATAGGTATAAAACAAGTTAGAAAAGCAGTACTGTGATCCAAAGGAATAAAAGAAACAAAAAGCCGAACTGATGTAAATCACAGTGAACTTGAGAGTATGAAAGACGGTGACAGTTATCAAATGCTGTCACAGAACAGTAGCCAAGATATTCAAGTTATTCACTTCTTGCTATTGCCAAATTTGCATTACAAAAAGCAGACGCTCAGTTCCCTACTGCCTTCATTAAGCAGTATATATGATGTTGAAATTTTCCAGACTGCATATTTGACAATATACTTGGCCACCAAATAGATCATCCCTCTATTATTACAATAAAAATGAGAAGGAAGAATTAGTGTAAATAATGGAGTCTATTCCCATTACTCTTGAAGATATATTTTAAAAACACTATCTAATATAATCAGATACTCACGGATTCTGCCCCAGGTCCTGGGTGTTCAGACAGAGAATACCAGCTCTGGAGACTGTATCTGGGGTAGCAGCTCTTCAATGGTGTACCTCAAACAGCAGCCGCATTGATGGAGTCATAGGCACACGTTCATTACTTGTAAGGGCCATTTACTGATGAACCTAGAAATCATCAGTAAATTTTTTGGCAAAAGCAAGCTAAGATACACTGTCTAGCAAGAATGTGATCAGGGCAAGAATGTGTTTATTACAACCCCGCAGATAAGCAAAGATTATCTGCAACACCATGCACGTACACTATTTCTTCAACATAGCTAAACAAACTGTATTCAAACATAGCTATAGTTTTTTACTTCAGAAACAAAGAGAAGGACAAATTCAAAAGGTTTTACCTGATCTTGTATGAGTTTTTCACAGTTTAATTCATTCAAAACTTGATTAGCCTGCTTCACCAGAGTGAGTTCTCCAGAAAGATGCTAAAAGCAGGGGAAGCGAAATCTCTCTCAGTGTCAATGGAAATAAACAGAATATGATTCAGAGCAGAAGCCTAAACTTAGATGCTCTGAAACGTCTTTTGGAAAAGCCACCTTCTGTTCATCAGCTAAACGTAGGCTACACGGCTAGCCCCAGCCAGTCACCTTGCTCAGTAATTAGAGACCATGTCGCTAGATGGTTTAAATTCGTAAGACAGGAAAGCTTAAGAGAATGGGCTAAACCACAATCACCTTCCTAAGGTGACATTCAGATTTTATATTTGGATTTCATTACATTACAGCATTTCAGACAGCCAACAAAATTGCTTTATATGTATAATTAATAAAAAGGGATTAAGAAGCCTGAGTACTATTACTAGTTCTTCAACTGACTTACGTAGTTTTCCTACCAACAGTCTTCTTTACTCTAGTGATGTGATTACTTCACTCATGGAATCTTAAATCTCTTTTAGTGAGAGGCTTTCCAAATTCCAGTTTCAATAATCTTATGATTGACATCTTGAATTACATCAGCTCATACACTAGGAGGCACAATCACCCTTACTGTATCCGTAGTCTACCTTAAACCATTTTTGTTGTACAACATAGGCAAGACATAATGTGTTACTCAGATACTAAAATATTACTTAGCAATAGTGAAAACAAAAGAACCTATAAGAATCTAAGACAAAAGGAATGGACACTGAAAAACAATGTCCAGAAAAATAAAAGGAGAGGAAAGTGGAAAAACAGGTAGAGAGTAAGCCACTGCACTTGCTTCTCAGTTACTCACCCTGTTATCATCCATAACTGTTGAGCAACTTAATCTACATAGGATCTATGTTCCTACCTAAAACTAATTGTTTTGGCCACTCATGAGTAATATTAGCTTGCTCTCAGAGAGGACATGACAGGAGGCCTGCAAATTATATTTCAGTAGAAAACCATCACTTTAATGCTTAAACAACACTGCACAGCAATTAAAACTTCAGAAGAATTAATGCATCACTGAAACAAGAAGCTTTTGTAGCATCAAAACCATGCTTTTTTCTTTTGCTTGCTTGTTAGATGTAAAAAAACAAAAATATTTTCAGTAAACACTTGATGCAGCAAAATGACTGCATCTTATGTAATAATGACCTATTTCTGTTTTGATTGCAGCAGGGTATGTCATTAGTCTTAATGATATGGGTGAGATATGGGAGGTTTCATGGGTCTGGGGAGAAAATAGCTTGCCCTTTAAGGCAGCAGAATCATCATCATTCAGGCTAGTTCTTTTCTGTCTACTAGCATCCTGCCCTGTCTCCAGTCTTCCCATAAGCACCAGTGCTCTGCACCCATATCTCACTGCATGAAAACACAGAAAAATGCAAGAATTCAGTCTCTAACAACTTCTCCAAATTCTAGCATTGTCCATTGCTGCTAGAGAACAATGCCTTCTTCCACAGATTCTAGGAAGAATAACATGTCTGCTATTTTGCCATCTTTCCATTCTTGGGTTGCACAGTGTTTAAAACCAAACAGTTCATCAGCTGTCAGAGCTTTTTGGGTTAAGGTCATTCCAAACAAGCTTTTGTTTCATGTTCACGTAGGTGTGATGCAGAACTTTCAGCACCTGAAGATAAGGCATGGGCTGCATATCAGGGACACAATTCTGATACAATAGGAATCTTTTACTTTCTTCCTGAACAGGGTCTCTGCCTACAATTCCCTGCACTCAGTCAACTGATCACCTTGATTTACTCAAGCCTCTGTGCTAGTTTAGCCCCAAATTTCCATTAAGCCTAAGGATAGGAAAGGAGCAGCCCATTCTGAAGCAGCTGTACTCTGCAGTCAATTCTAATAGAAAATGTTAAATGGGGAATAAAATACATGCAGCTGCCAACATTTAGTAGCAGAAATGGGCAGCATTAGCTATTAGAAGTATTTGTCTAGTGTTTTGGCAATATATTCCACTATTTCTGTCTAGAAGCCTAATTAAACCATCCTGAATGAAGTATTACTTAGTCTATCTGTCAAATTGAATGCTCATTACTTGGTGCTATGATTAATTTTCCTCTGGGACATGCAAACAACACATAAAATGTAGAATTTGCTTGTAACATTTGAGCTTTGCCATTACACATCAAATGGCTGACTGGATGGCCTGAACAGTGTGTTATTACACTGCAGCCTAAGGCACAGGCAACATGCAGAATGTCTTCTTCAAGAATCACGGCAATTTCTTTACAACGTGAGGTCGAAAACACACTGTATAGGTAGGCAGGCACCTTACTCTTTCCAGTCCCTGCATTTCCAATGACAAACACAGAGCTACACACTGCCCTTCCAGCTGAACAACTTACTGCACAGAAGGGATACACAGTGAGTACCTTTTCTCTCCTGTTGTCCTTCTTATTATAGAAACACAAATATTCACAAAAATTATCTCCCACCTCTACAATCCTATTCCCTTTAACAGGAACAAAAATGAACTTAGGCCTTCTCAGCAGATTTGCTTCAGCTGAGCTGATGTTGCATCAAACAGCATTGTTTGTCTTCCAGAAAATTGGAAGAGAATTGGCTTAAATTAATGAATCTAGTGACCTCAGCAAGTGAGAACAAATCCTATTTTGCTAGAAAGCCATACAGTCCAGCAGGATTGTGCCAACCCAGGGATACAGAACAGTTAACACAATTTTGACATCACTTTAGCAGAATGAATTCCACACTCAGAACAACTGTGCAGCTATAATTTGGTAAAGTAACACATTTCCTCCAAAGAAATAGTTCTGTGAGCCACAGAGTGGAAGTGGCTTGGCTGCTTATGGTATTAGTGGAGAGCATCCACACTGACTTTCTGAAGTCCAAAAGGAACAAGTTCATGTTCCTCAGTGCTCATCTTCTGATTCACCGAGTTAGCAGGAGTCAAAATACTCTATGGAAGGCTGATCGCAAAGTTCGTAACACCTGAAGGTATAGCTTATTGTCTATTGTCTTTCACCCTTCTGTCAGGGTAATGGAACAAGACAGACAAGAGCAGAAAATCCTTTTATAAATTCTGAGATGAGTCACATTTAACCATCTTGGTTATTCCAGTTTCCAATAGACCCTAATAAATGTGCTATTGCATACAGCAGGTATGGATGTTCCTGGAAGGAGGGTGGGAATATACTTAGTAGTCCAAATAAGCGTGCTTTTTATTTGGTCCGTATACTAACCAGTGTTTCTAAGTTTCACCTTTTCACCCTGAAATTCAAATTAAAATTAGTGTTTAAATTAACTTATAGACAACTAATCCTTATGAAAATACATACATACACAGATGTACATGCACTGTTTTTGATGTGTATAGCACAATATGCATTATTTTAATCAAGAAAAACAGAACACACACAAATCACATGTAGCCATGCACATTCCAAATCCATGCTTTCTTATTTATATGTTTTTGCTCCCTTACTCTTCTTTCCTCCCTATGAATAATAGCCAACAATTAATTTGCTACAAAGTACAAATGCTTGGTACTGTACACAAACAAACATGTTTGTCAGTGTAGACAGCTTTTCTGAACAGGATACGCAAGTCCTTATGGTCATATTTATCATACAGAAGTGTATTACTGCCATGACAAAATGCCTTTGAAATACTGAGACTTTGAGGACACCTTATCAATACTGTAACATACTCAAAAATAACCTTCATGTCTAATATAACCCATTTGCAATTATTTTGATTGAAAATCTTAAGGGGAGCAATTAAAGGCAATGAATTCTTTTACTTTGAGTATAAAGCTCTCTTCAGACTGCAAGTGAAGCTCCAGGGTAGATTGTTTAACCATCTGTTCAAATTGCAGGGTCCTCTTCCTCAGAGCATCCAGAGCTGGAAACAGGTCACTGATCAGGCCGTGAAAACTGGGATATCATCTGTCACTATTTTAGGCAAATTGAAGTCTCTTAAGGCTCGCATAAGCACCTGGAAAAGGATGGTAAACCACATACTGCAAGAGCGTTAACCCCTTCTCTTTTTAGGATTCTGTTTTTAATTAAAGGCAAAACACCAGAAACAGCTCATACTCTTAGATGGTTTTAAGTGAAGATTTCACCTGATCCTCAGGTTTGTTCTTGTCTGCTTGTTTCAGTGAGCCACCAACTACCAAAACTGACTTGATAGCATGTAATTCAAGAAGTCTCCAGTCATAATGGTGCTGTAAAAACATTATAACTAATCCTGTTAACACAGGAAATAAAAAGGTGTTAATGTTTGAGAAGAAACATGCTGCTTACATACAGAGTAAAGTGACACCCTTTTATCCCCTTGTACTCTTATGGTGGTTTTAGGCCAGTGTTGGAAGTCTAGTAAAAAAACCATCAAACCAACCAACCAACAGGGTGAAATGTGTCTATCTATTTAATTTTTGTATTCTACCACTTTGTTCCCTATTCTTAAATGGCAAAATTTGCACTGTCAAGTATTATTTCTTTCATTGCAACTATACCTCCATGATGAAACAAGGCAAGAAAACATTGTTGCCCAACTTCTATTAAATCTACCTGATCCTAGCAATACTTACCTGTTTCCAAAAGAGAAGACTGGACAGACTATCAACATATTTTGCAACCAGCTCCAACACCAAAATTAAGGGAAAAGAGAAACATATAGGTAATCAGCCTAGAGAAAAAGCCTAGAAACATTTGGTAAATGAAGGATACCTTCCCCTAAGCCCTGCCAGTGTGAAGGCAGATATCCAATGCAGAAGGCACAACTTTTTCATCACACAGACTTTTTAGTCCCTCTTCTTCCTTTTTCCAGGATTGTGCAACATTCACCTTTTTTTTTTTCCTAAGTAACACAGAAATAGAAGGAGAAGGCAATTTAAACATTTTTGAGATTTAAACAACTTTGTATGATGGGAGGGCATACCTCTACAGCCAATACTGCAATGGCTGAAGGAATCTATCACGAACCCACAGCTCTAAATTTAAGGCTATGCCTATGTTCTTTCAGTTCATGTAGTTCAGTTCAGCACCCAAACTGGCTACCCATCAGGTGGTGTTTGACAATGTTACCTGCAACCACAACCACCACTTCAATATAAATATAGCCTGGTTGGTATTACCTAAACTTAAAAGAAACAAACAAAAAAACCACAGAAAACAACAAACCAAATCTAAACAAAAAAAACACTCAACCAACCAAAAAACCCAATAACAAACCCTTACCTTAATATACTATTTTTAAAAAATTCACACATGTCACTATACCCTTCCATGATAGTGGAACAAAATGCACAAAATGTATCACAGAGAAGACAAAATAAAAAGCCATTTATAACTTCAGAACAGTTCATCATCAGTACAAAAAACTGCCAGCTTTTTCTGAGGTGCAAAAGATGCTGAGTATCTGCAATGAAAATGAGCCTCCACATTTTACAAATGTTACACCTAGGCAAAGAAGTTAAGCATGGAGTTGGCTAGGAAAATAGGAAATTTAGGCATATACTGGGCTTAATGATCTTTTGCTTAGATTTTAAGTAAGGTGTTTTTTTTCCCCCCCACATTTCTTTTGTTGATTTGCTGTCTGATGGGTTGTTAAAAAGCAAGCTATTCATCTTTACAGCAGCCTCTTGTGTGGATTGTCCAATGTTCAAGGACTATTTGCCATTGCATGACAGGACTAAAAGTCCCTTCCTTCACAGCATATGCACCAGAACCCTGACAAGGCTGTTCTGAAGCAGTTTTCATAGGCTAGGATACTAGCGCCCACAAAGTTATATTGAAAGCCCTAAAAGCCCCAGCACTGGACCAATGTTTTCAGAGCTCTCTGAACTGCTGTATATTTTCTGCAGCAGCCCAGAATTTTAGCCAAAGAGATACAATTTATCTCATTTCCATGAAAAGTAAAACAAATAAGATAAAAATAATAAACAAACAAGAACATTCTAGGTTCTGCTTCAAATATTCTCAATATTGAAATGGCAAACAACAGTACAAGTGATTTTTCTGAATTCACAGAATGACTCCAGGACAAAGCAATTGTTAGAGCTGAGGAATCCCTGCTCTAGTGAAGCAGATAATAATTATATCTTATACATTGAAAGAATATGTCAGGAAAACTTCAGAATAATTAGAAATAATTTCAAAATTATGCAGGCATGAAAATAAAGTTGCTTTTGTTTTCATAATGGCCCTGCTAGCTAGAGCTTTATGGCTTAAGGTTGAAGGGTTCTCCAAGTTCTTATTCCACTAATAAAACCAAATATTAAAAACATCTTCTGAAAAAATAATACAGTTGGAAATGAGTAAACAGCATGCATACAAGGAGGAAATGATAAAACTTTCAAGTCTTATAAGTTGTAGATTTTTAAGATTACTAGGAAGAATTCCTATTCAGAATAGTTTAATAGTTAAATTATTCAGCAATACTTTATTTCCATTTTCCAGACAATCCTCCACTGTATTTACTGGGAAAAGCTTAAATATTCATCCAAATAGAATACGTTATTTCTTATTCATAATAATTCCTACTCTCCTTCAAGATTTTTCTCCAACAGAGAGATGTGTTCTCCAACACAACAGCACACTGTGGCTCAGCCATCCCAGGTATGAAGCAGTGAGGGTGGTGGGGCACTGGAACAGGTTGCCCAGAGAAGCTGTGGATGCCCCATCCCTGGAAGTGTTCAAGGCCAGGCTGGATGAGGCTTTGAGCAACCTGGTCTAGTGGAAGGTGTCCCTGCCCATGGCAGGGGGGTTGGAACTAGATGGCCTTTAAGGTCCATTCCAACCCAAACCATTTTGTGATTCTATGATATACAATTATTTAAAGCAAACTTAATTCATTACAAATGTCCCAAGATCAGAGGAAAGTGCGCTTTCTTCTAAATTAATATCTGACAATTTAATAATGATGGACATGTCATTTAAACTGTCTTCAAAATAAATATGACTATATACATACCACCCCCCACCACCCGCCCCCCCTTTATTATACATTGTCCACCTGTAATGTTTCCAAGTGAGTATGTGCTAATTAACACGTATCAAACCTAGAAGCCCAAAGAGACTCTCACCTGTTTAGAAAGCAGTTGCCTGCAGAGAGCACACAAGGTAATAAACTTCCTGGCTAACAAGTGTGTATCAATAAACTCTTCAGCAACCAACAAAATTTCATATATCAGTTCAATGTCAGGGACAGCCACAGTGCAGGCTCTACGAAAGAAAACAAACCCCATAATCCAAATACACAATCAGGATTTAAACATGGAGAATAAGTCACTTAAATCAAATGACTGATGTGTGCAAACATTTTTAAAACAGAGCTCGAGAGTCACAATTAAGGGTGCCAGTCAAAGCTAACAAGGACCTTACTTCAAAGCAAAAGGAGCTGATTAGGCATTGTTGATTGTTAGTATTCAGTAACTGCTGTACACAAAGGAGGCAGATGAGAAACACAGGGTTTGTGAGACAGGTACTACCGAAACTCAGAGCACTAACAGTCTGCAGCGGTGTCACTTGCCACCAACGGCTGGAGGAACCGGCCACCAGCTATACGGGGTCTGGAAGTCAAGTGTGACACCCTGCCATTGCTAAAAATGCCACCCTTTTTTAAAGGTCTTCGAGTTTTTGAGAGCTTTAATGCTTTTATATGAAGATACGGTTGCCCTTAGAGATTTTGCTGTTTGTTTCTTTTTAAAATATAACCTTTAGTTCAAACTTTTAGAACAAGACCACAGCCATTTTAATCATATAAATGAGAAATCTCCAATTTAAAAGGTAACTCAAAACAATGATGCAAAGGTTAAACAATTTCATCATTAAAAGCTCTACTTACACTACACAGTAGCAGGGAAGACACCTTGAATTTTGTGTTCAGGTTAGCTACAAACCAGCAAATTTGTCCATTGGAGCACTTTTCTTACTACCGTCAAAGACGATATTCTGTTCCCCATTCATATTTAAATATGGCAAAATTAAGAACAGTGGTTTAATCCAGCAGTATATTTTTGACAGAAATCAATCATATACAGTCAAGAGAAAGATTAAGTACTCCTTTGTTAAAAAACTTTTAGGTAAACTATTCCCTAAATCATTTCTTCATAAGTCCAAACAAGGGCTGCTATATGCATTTCAGTCAACTACAAAAAATTTATATGCTCTTCTACCTACCATAACCAGTATCCTTCTGGTAAATAGAATAACTGATTGTACAAGAAAGATCAGGCTAGTAGTATTCAATATATCTTCTCTCCCTCATGAGATTTTATTAGGTGGTAAATATGAGGAGTTAATGCTTTACCAGTTACCTCCCGCCTTTCCTGTTCATTGCACAGAGCATAAGAGCTATTACAGACATCAGCTACAGCGCTGAATTCCTGAGCCCCAAATGCAGCAGTTCATACTTTAATTACAAAGGCCTTTTATTCTATGTGACAACCAAGTAAAGGTAACACTTCAGCTCTATGTAGCAAGTACATTTTGAAAATTAAAAAAAAAAACCACCCCACAAAGAAAATCATAATAGAAAGCTCATCAAGTAAAGCAACAATTTGACTTTATCTTTCAGCAGAGATATTAATAAACATTATTTCTTAACCCTTACTCTTTTCTTCCCAAATGAAAAAAAAAAAAACCAAAACCCAACAAACATAATAAACAAACTACAGAAATAATCACATGTATTTTCCATCCTCTGGCAACTCACTGAGAGATTAAACCTGGTAGCAATAAGGAGTGATCCCTCCTGCTCTCTTGTCAAACTCCGCATCGAGCTGTCTGTAGAAGACTCGGCAGCGAACTGTCTGAATGCAGAAAGGGTGGATGAGGTCCCCATCACCCTGTCCTCCCCTGTGCAAGGTTCTGAATCGAGGGGCTGCCCAACACTGTTCCCTTGGTGCACACCAATCCTGCTTTGCCTTGAAGGGACCTTAGGTGCCAACTAACGAGAAGGCTTGGTAAAGCTAAGTTGTGAAACACCAAAAAAAAAAAAAAACCACTCCTGGGGAAGGGGAATGCACTTCCCAGGGTCTCCCTCCAAAGTTTGCTAAAACCCAGCTATAGCCTCTTATTCAGCCCTTGCAGAGGCATATGAATTCAAATCCTAGCCTCCTCTTTGTAAACAGATGTTACTTACAGCTTGTTACAAATGATTGTAATTGCGGCTCAAAGAACAAGAAAGCTAATTGCTGCTGCCACCCGAAGCAGGATATTTGGTTGGCAAGAGGATGAGATGTGCCTGAGCAAACAGCTTTCTAACTTTAGCCTTTCTGCAGTGAAAGCATGAAGCAGTATGTTGTCAGGAATTCCATGGCTACAGCAGAAATAATAAAATACACCAAAATCTTGATGTAACTTTTAATAAAAAAGAAAGTAGTATCTGTGTTTCAACTTGCTCACAGAAGCAACAGTGAAGCCCAGTTCTTTCCTAAGTTTCTATCTTTTAAAAATCAAAGGGATTTAGAGCTCATAGAAGCAGATCCCAGATAGCACACCTATACTTGAGCCTCCCCAGCCAGCCTGGCAATGCCTTGCAGCTTGCCCCACTGAATTTCAGTATGTCAAGAAATGAAATCACAGAATCCCTTTTTTTTTTCCCCCCTCAAGTCTTGATTAAATCAGTGAAAGGTGTGAACACAAGAGCAAAGATTTCAACTGACAATTCTTTTTTAAGCAAGCCCTGCACCATTTAAGTCAAAGACCATTACCACATAGTTCAAAGCTCCAACACTTTGTCGGAATAAATTGGCATCATTTTACTCCCATCATGCCAGAGCAACTGCTTGCCGAATTAATTCACCCTCAGGAGCACTGTTTTGATACAAAACTCACTGCATGCAGCATACAAAATAGAGTCAGATCTTTTAAACTAAAATCTTTCTTTTTTGAAACATTAGTGTTAAAAAACTAAAAATATACGTTAAGAAAAAGAAAACGGGCTGTCCTAAGCTGTCTAAACACATGCACTTTTTGGCTGTGCACTGGACTTGTCACAGCACCTCGATTACACATCCACTATCTTCCTAGGTAAGAGCATATGGCTTCATTTTCAACTGGCAGTTATGGAACATCTATGAACGCACACACATGCCTACACCTATGGAAGAATGCGATAGCTGGACACGTAACCTAGTAGAATAACCATCTGTATAAGCCAGCTGTGAGGAAAACTATTTACCACAAAACAACAAATATTCTTGCACCTATTTAGGGACATTCCGTGTGCTGTGTGTTCACAGGTATCTGTAATATTTTAAGCAGATTACAAAAATGTCAATTATACATCTAATTTCCCTTGTTGTTACGGCATGCGGGCAAGCATGATATCTATACTGATTTTTTTTTCCCCATGCCAATTCTGAAGCAAACAAAAACGACACTTCATTGAAAACCAAGACTAGAAGCATAAGGTGACATACGTACTCTAAATGCAGACTTGACATACTTGTGTACTGTAGAAGTACACTACAGCATACTTGCCTGAACAGATCTTTGAGGTTTTCAGGTAGTTCTGTCCAACCTGTATATCTTGGGTTCATGGTAATAAATATTCCAACTGATGACTTCAAAGCAATGGTTTCACTAAGGAATAAAAATCCGTTACAACAAGATAATGCTTGCAAACATTTTACAGTTGGATTAGATGTAAACAACTGCATCATACAAAACCAGCCATCAGGGGTCAGGTAACAAAGGTGCTTCTGGGCCTGGATCCCATCTCTCACAGTGGCGAAAAGCAAACACCCAGGAAAGTGCGTTTGCTCAGATCTAATGAAGAGGCATTTCCCTGGTAGGCAACAACTTTTAGTAATCTGTGGCTCCTTTAGCCAGCACTGAATTTGGAAAGAACAAACTGGATTGTTAGAGCAACAAAGAATTCATATTATGGCTGAAGTATGTCTACAGGAAGAATTAACTTTTAAAACATGTAAAATAAATGAGACTGATAGGGATGCAGGACAAGAAATAGTAGACTGTAGTTGCCACTTTCCCTATTTCCCAAAATATGAGCCCCAGAATTGTCCTCCTCAACTAAGGGTCATAAGCACTAAGCCAACCAGGATTGTTTGATGCATCATTCTGGATCACTGATTTTAAAAAGAAATTCCATTCTGGAGCAAAACCGTTTCCAGAAAAAAGCTTCATTTTATGTGGTGTGAAAAAAGTACTGGTTTGGACTTCAACACACAAAAAAAATATTATTTTGCTGAAAACTCCTGATTAATTTTCATAAAGATCTGCTCATATTCTTCTTCAGACTAGACACAGAGTACATACATTATACTATGCAAGAAGTAATTCAGTTATTTTAAAAGTAATGGATATTAAGATCATACCATGACTTAAAGTGTGCAAATCTACCTGCCCCCACATGCTCAGATATACTGTATCTTAATAACCTTATAAAATACATATGAGGTAGGAAAGAACACTGAACTTCTAAGATTTTTTTTATTCACTGAAACAGATATAACAGACACTGCTATTAGTAAAAGTCATTACCTATCAGTCAAAGGTGTAACAACTAGCCGAGGGGTATTTCCCAAATACTTACAAAAGTACTGAAACTGAGCATCGCAAATGTTGGCAAAACATTGTTTCTGGGTGACATCCCATCTATGGTGTAGCTGTGACAGCCAAGCAAAGCTTGGGAACTGGTGACCTAAAGAGCCACTGCAGAGCCATTATACCAGGTAGGAGCTATTCAGATGAAAGTAATGGGACCCATCACAAACCTACAGCTGTCATCAGTAGGTCTCACCACCTCATTCCTAGCCACTAATGAATAATAACAACTACAACCAATTACAAAGGATTAGACACACCTTGAATCAAATGGTGTATTTCTTTTTTTCAGTAGATGCTAATAGCAGTTTATTTACTACAGGAAGAATATTATTAAATATGCCTCATATCTTTTTTATGAGACCATTTCCACACTGGGCTTATTTTCACTGAATTAAACAAAAAGAAGATATCCATATCTGCTTCTTGTGGCAATCCTTCAGACCTGATGCCAAGCTCTCATCCAATCTACCAAATGGCATTTCTTCACTCAAACCCCACCAGATTTGTGAACCAGTAAGTGCAACCTGGGCTGGGTAGTCAAAACCTCACTATTCTCTCTGCTTCTCTTCATAGGCCAGTAACGTCTCCATGATGCAGAGGTCCACTGTTTTGGGTACAGTTTCCGCAAGGTGTTGCAACCAAGACTCTGCCTTTTGAAGAGAAAAAAAACCCCAAACATGCATAAATTTATACACGTAACAAACAGTACATTTTATATTAAGAACATAGGAAACTCATCTCACTAATCTTTACAAAGAACTTCCTTTACATCAACATTCTTTACAAACCTGAAATGAGAGTGGGATTTTTTCCTTCCATTTTCTCTCTCCTACTATCTCTTCAGTAGGATTTAGCTCTGAGGAGCCCTTCCCAACTACCGAGATACCAGACCTTGGTTTGTTTTACATACCCATTGGACTTGAACATGCAGACACACTGTCTTAGAGCTCTGAATATGAAAGACTGAAGTTTTTCTGTTCAGAGACACAGAGTAAACACAGACAATACAGTCTTTCCTATGTCTCTATGCACTCAAACGTAGCTGTATCTTGGAGAAACTATCTCTAAGATGCAAGCTGCATATATTTTTCCATTCAGTCTGAGGCCTCCCTGCTGAGACAATCAATCACTAGAACCACATGCAACATTGATTTTATGCAATGTGAATGCTTATCCATTCAGCACTGTTCTGAGAACAATAAGTTATTGTCTGAGAAGCTGCTGACCTGTTCTTTCTGACCTACCACTACCCAGTTAACATGCATACTGGCTGGCCAATTAGCAAACATAAGGCTCAAAACCAGCTAAAACCCTGTTCAGCTGATAGTGGACATTGGAGAGAGCTGGAGATCTGGAGAGGTGTGTGCTAAGGGGTAAGAGAGGTGGGGATCTGAAAGTATAATGGAAGATGAAATGAAGGGGCAGAAGAAGAGAGGAAGTATGAGGAATGCAATATTCAACCACAGGCTCCATCAGTTCTGTGGCTTTTAGTACATTTGTTTTTTTCCTTTTTCATTGCCCCTAAACTTAACTCTCTTCACTTACTAAAAAAAAAAAAAAAAATCTAGACAATTTATTAAATTATTAGTTTACTACAGAGTTTTGGGACACAAGATGTTTTGAAATTTGGAAAAATAGTTGTAAGGTTTTTCATTATTTTTTCTAAATTTACATTTTAGAAAGCATCAATTCCTGCCATTGAAAAAGTGTCTAATCTACATCCAAAGAGGGCAAAACCCATGAAAGAAATTTCATGTAACTCAACATAACTGACCACTGCATCCACAGTCTTTCTGGAATGGAACATACTCCTTTTCTCTGCTGTACATCCCGAGGGCAGCATTTATAGATTCCTCTATGTTCTTTTGAAATTAAATGTCAGTAACGTTGTCAAAAAGTTCAGTAAGATGACTGGCCACCTGCACCCAAAAATACCAGATATAAAGAAACCATTTACCTTAGATTTGTGTTAATCACTCTACTTCAATGCATATTTCTATTACAATAGACAACTACCACACTAACATTTGCTATAGATAAGATTTCGGGGTTCAGCAAAGTTTAACACAGTTCTTCGCAACTAAACTGGATCATGTCAAGCCTTTGAATTAATCATACAATTGTGTTTCTTATTCTAATGATTTCAGCACATAGTGCTTCAATTGATCTTAGCAAGGAAGATGCACCAAGCGACCGGGTGATTAATCAGCATTTTTTCTTAAGTTTCAAAGACAATTAAAAAAAATTTAAAAGCCCTTTACACACACACAACACCCACCCCCCCACCCCCACCTCTCCCATGTAGTATTAGAATGCTTATGCCAAGTGAACTAATAAGAAGATTACTTCTCATTTCCCTGGTGGCACAGACTGACACAGCGATGCTGTCTGGCTCCCTTGCATGCTTACTACATAGGAGGTTTCTATGGGAAAAGCTGGGGGAAAATGGTCACAGACAAAGCAGTGAATAGAGTTAATTACACTAATGTCAGTCATCAGAAGAGTCTGAAAAACAAAGCTCAATATAAAACTGATAAGTCTGAAAATTGTTATTAATAATGGCTAGTGCTTATTTAACAAATTGTGGATTCAGGTCTAAATGTTTTCTGTAAGTACAAACCTCTGCAAAGATTGTGGAGTTTGAAGATCACTGTCTACACACCAGCATGCTCTACGCCTGAAAAACAGATCTGTTTGGTTGCTCTTCTCATATATGGTGTAGAGCAGTAAGCAGTTGAAACAAGCCACTGAGATTCAGTCATGTGAAGAAGCTATGAGACTATCATCACGTTGGAAAATACTCAGTGTTCAAGCCTCACAAGTCCTTCATCCTCTTGGAAAGTATCAGTTCTTCTGTTACACATTGCACCCTTTCAGAAAAGGACTTGCCTGAGACACACTAATAGCTCCTGTACTCAGAGAACCAATGGGCATGGCTGGACAGTCACTGAGGCCAGGAGTATCATCTGGCATGCAGATAACAGAGTATAAAGCCTCTGAAAATACATCAAAGTGCATGTGCTTTTAAACAGATTGTTCTCAAAGTGTCACAAAACCTAGCAGATTATTGTTCAAGGGAGGAAAACAGAAGGATAGCTACAAAAGCATTCTTCATACAATTGTGAGCAGCTCAGTCAGTAACAGCCTAACAGAGCCCATAGATCTTTCAGTTTTATCATCACTATGCATAGCATGCCTGAAATTTGATCAATCCACGCCAGAAGGAGGGATAGATTTGATGATTTCATTGACCTTTTCCATTTCTAATTCCTGCAAACCTACAATCCAAAAATCCAAATAAGTGCAAATTGCACGTGGCTAAATTTCCAGCTAGCTACAGCACAGGATTTATAACACTTCTGACATTGATGGTTTCATCTCTCCTTGCTGAACACCTTGTACCTGTCCTAGCTGGGAAGAAAATGTTTGGGGCTTTCCTTACATAAAGTGTTTATATTTGTAAAGTAAGCTAACACTCAGAAACAAAGGTACAGTTCTACGATACTATCTCCTCACATGGTTAGCTGGAAAATTTGCCTTTCTGTAGACAAAATGAAGTACAGTAATACACAAGGAAGTTCATCTGTTTTGGCTGTGTTCCTTTTGAAAGGATGCCTAGCAAGTCTGAAGAAATAAAACAGAATCAAGGAAAAGTTATGCACTTGGTTTCTAAATATTCAGCCTGAGCTTTTTCATAAAGTGTGAAAAGACAACAGAGATTTTAAAAACAGGTGTCTTTAATCACCCTAAAGCCAAGAATTACCTCCCAGTTAAGGAAGAAATCAGACCAAACACTAAACCAGAACAATACAATCCACTTTTAATTTAAAATAATAACAATGAATACAGCTCTAAGGAACAGAGAAGGTGGCAAACCTTACACGTTTCCTTTCCAGAAGCTGAAACAGAACATGCTCCTTTTACTCATTCAGACCAAGAAACCCAAGAGAACGGAATTGCACTAGCAAAGTCCCTGAAAAGGTAAGTTTGGCTAAGAGTAGACTCCCCTTCATCCTGCTAGAGTCCAGCCTTAGAAAGTAAGGGACAAGAACAAAATTTCTTGCTTGACAGGGCCACTACTTGTTGATAAATTAAAAAAAAAAAAAAAAAAAAATCAGCAGCTAAGAATGAGTCTAATGGGAGAGCAAAGTAGCAGTTTTTTAAAGATGCATACTTTTTTTTATGTATGAAGGACAACAAACATGAAAACACATGTTGGTATTGACACAAAAAGTATTAAAAATCAAAATACTGAATTACACGCTTATCTGGAAAGGAAAAACACCACACATTTGTGTGTGACTGATGCACTTAAGCTATTAGCTTGGTATGTCTCATAAGAAAAGTGACATCTCAGAAAACAGGTTTGTGTTTTGTTCTTTTAATTTCCTATTACAACCTTTTCCTGCAAGGAGAAACAGTCTGTGACTCCAAACCACTGCCTCTACAGGTAGGAAGAGTAAGCATCAGTGGGAAGTTCAAGGCATAACTTTACGTGTGTTGAAGGATGACTTTTGTCACAATCTACTGTCTCCTCCTGTAAGTGTGAAAGAGACTCCCAGCTCCCAGTTTGTGGATGAAAATGAATTTTAAAAATATGTTTAGCCAGGATAAAGACATTTGACCATTTTTACATCAGACAACCAATAAAATGTGAACCAATGCCTCAAATCTAAGTGATATAAAAAGCACCGAAAGTCCAGTATGTCACATGCAAAAAAAGACAAAAATATTATCATCTGATCATCTCACACCATTACAAAAAGCAAAGGTGACCTAACAGCTCTTATTTCCTGAGTGTTCCAGAACTACAATTTAGAACAATTTATAATCATACTGGAAATTTTACCTGTGCCACAAAGCTTCCCATTTTCAAAAAATCTTTGTCTTGGTTGTAGCTTCCATCACGTTTTTATGTATTTGCTACGTCAGTCACCAACTCCTGTATGGAAGTGCGAGGAAGTTATTGCAATATGTGGAAATCCCCTCATGTTTCAAAACTACTGGGAAAACAAACTAGAAGAAAGAACCTAAAACAAGCTTGAGTTGACATTTCTTAAATGAAAAAAATCAAATAATCCACAGACACCTATTTTGATAGTGTTTAGACTGAACATGAAGGAAACGTAAAATGAACAGGGAGAACTGCTCTAGAGGAAAGCAAATACCACTGATTATATTACTAGATCTCTTCTAATAAAACAAAAATGAGAGATCGTAACAGAAATATTAACTTGTACAATAATTCTTATGTGTGCAAGCCCAATGTCTTTTACAACATGCACCATGAAGAAACGCATGCATGTTAAATGCCATGAATAATTACATTGCTGTTAATCGGATTCTCAATTTGTACAAAGGTGTGAATAGAGACTGGGGGGGGGAGAGGGGTTTGACAAAGTTAGACTTGTTGCTGCCCACACTGTTTAAATTGCAGATGTAAACAATTAGAAATCTAGTTGAAACTTTAAACGTTGAACCTCTCTGTAGATCATTATCATATCTTAGCTTTTCACAAATGTATATAATGAAAACTTTTCCTTGCATATGTGGATTGAAGCACAGGTATACTGATAAACCTCAAGTTACTCACTTTATTAAGTGAGGGTTCAGTAACATTTTTTTGGTCAGAATAAACAATTCAGACACAATACTTTGTGTAAGTTTAAATTTTAGGTTGATTGCTGCAATTACCTTTGGCCAATGATAAATAACAGAACATTAATTCGTGTTTCAACTATCACTGTCCTAAATGATACACAGTTTTGCAGAAGGGGATTCTCTAACTCACAAGTATCATCTCTCTATGGGACTCCAGAAGGTTAAAAAGCTAATGAAGAGTAAATAAAGGAAGATATTACAGTCACATAAAGGAATGACCTGCAGATCTCTGTCACGAACCATGATTTGTGACAATGTGTCAATCAGCAGCTGCCAGTCCATGTGAAAGGAAAACAAGGCAAAAAATTACTTTGATTTTAATAATAAAGAATGCAAAACCCACTTCTGATTTCTCCCAAGTAGGCCTGAGACTCTCATAATAATGTTAATTCAGTGAGTTAAAAACAAGCCTATGAAAGAAATACTCAAACTGTCAATTTGGCATTATTTTAAAAATATCTATTTAATTAGCCACTCTAAATAATTCAGATGCAAGATATAAATGGACTCAAACCACTAACTCTAACTACCACTACTCTGATTTGATTTCATCAAATCTGTTTGCATCTTCAGACAGCTGGCTTCCGGTATCTTCAGAGCCAGTGAATGCACTTTGTAGATGAGACCATGTGCATTGAACTTCCATCCTAATGGAAATGACAGAATCTGCCATGTTTAATTTATTTTGCCAACCTTTCACTTGTTCAATGAAATATGCCACATATTTACTCTTCAGAATCGTTTGCAGCGGAACTTAGAAAAAAAAAAACACCAGTGAAAAACTGCACTGATCAGAATAATTTATCAAAGAGAGGAACTAGGGCTAATAAAAGTTTAACAAATTATCCTGCGACTTCTTATTATCATATATCATACCAGAAGACATATTTAAACACTGCAAATGGACAGCATATTATTAAAAGATTTTTTAAAAACCCTAGGAAAATATAACCTTAGAAAGCTGTAATTTTGTTAACTCCTACATGGAGATAGGAATTTCTTTAGAATATATATATAGTTACAGAGCATACATATAATTTCCCAGGACTAATATCTGGAGAAAATGTAATTCTCTGCAATAAAGTTTCAGGAAAAAGTTTTAACTAACCAAGCATATAAAGGGAGTGAGTAATATTGATATACTAATACTATTTCTGTTAATTAAATCTGTACTTGATTGTTACCTAAAGTTTCAAGCAGCTGTTCATCTGACTTTAATAAAGGAGCTTTGTTCCTGTGATGCTCTTCATAAGAAAATTCCAAGGCAACCCACGTTGGGCTGATTTCTGCCAAAATCTGGGAACAAGAAGAGTTGTAATAACATCTGTCTATACATATCACATTTCATATTTGGAGCTGAGATCTTTAATTAAACCATATTTCATTCACAGTGATTGTAAACTATATGACAGAGAAAAAGTTAGTTTGGCTAGGCTGTGAATTTTGCTCCCTGGGAAAGTCACATGAAAATATTCTCTTCTATCACTGATTTCTTTAAGCAGAACTTAGTCAAACGAATAGTTTGTTACAAACTATTCTGTCAAAACAGAAGGAAAAAATGGACACCTCTCACTTTTTCAGTACCCAACCCTTTCACAGTGTTGTCAACTATACCTTGGACTTCATCTTCTACCTTATGAAACTGGAGTCACAGAAGGCCTGTAAAGCTAGTATCTTCTGCTACTGAAAGCCTGACTTATAAAGAGACAGCAGACAGTAAAATAAATAAATGAATAAGAAAAACCAGACATAAGCATAAGACAAAGTGTTCAAATGGAATCCAAGTAAAAACCAATAGAATTAATTATATGCACTCCAGGTACTGGATATACTTTCAGATTTGCACCAAAACTCTGACCTTGATCAGCCTGGATTAAATATTTTGTAATGTCGTTACTCTACCTTTTTCTTTTGTCTTGTACTGTACATAACACTGAAAGGCAAGTTTATTTGCACAGCTGCCAATGAAGTTGATATAAGCTACAGACACAGCATGTGCACACTACAAGTCTTGGGGACTGGTGGAGGTATTTGCCATATTTTGTTACTGTTTTATAAGATAAAAATTAAAAAAAAAATCAACTCTAAAATTTTAATCAAGTCTTTGAAAAGATCACAGTTGATAATTTTTTCATTTTTTGTGAAAAAAAAATCACGAAAGATTTTTGCTAGGCCTGTTTAGAAGTTTTCTGCATTAAAAATCTTTTAAAGTGTGTGGTTATTAAAACTGTATGTGAAAAACACTTGGTATATTGGAACAGAAACATCCTGTTATGCTCACTCTCTTTCGAGTTCTCTTCATTTTAATAATGATTGAAAATTGCCTTTTTTTTTTTTTCAAAATGGTTACAAATATTTTGAAAACCAACAACTGGTCCATCTTATACCCTAGGAAGCAAAACCTCTGGGATTCTGTTTCAGAAATTGAACTAACTTTTTATGTTGTTGTGCATAAAGCTTCTTTGTTTTTTCAGCTATATTATCAACAGTTGGGTAAAACTTATACATCTCTTCCCCTTTATTTCTTTCTACTCTCAGGTCAATAGCCTCCTTATGCACTAATTCTTTAAAAATTTACTACTAGGGTGATAGTTCAGGTAGCCTTTCTTTCCTTACCTTCCATTTCCCTCTGCCCATCATTTCCTCGTTCACTATTAAGAAACATTTTATTTTGCTATCCAGGAAAGTTTCTAGCCACATTGCTTGGTTTTGTTATAAATATTTAATAGAAATTATTAATGGGAAGTATTCCTCTGCCCCAGACAAGACAGAGAACCTTTCAAGCTATTTTCAAGCTCAGCAGGGAGACAGCCAGGTATGGGAGAACTGTCTAATTTAGCAAGCCAGGTATGCCTTCAGAGAATTGGGTCCTTTTTTCTGAAAAGAGAACACAAATTCACTTCTCAACCCATGAGATGCCTCTGTCTGAAACCTAAAGCTCTGCTCTACTTACACGTTGAATAGTTGGCAGCAGTGTCTCTACCCCATGCTCAACAGTACTGCTACATGTCTATGCGTAGAGCATGAAAGACCATCACCAGGACCTCTGGATGAATGCGACACCTGTCACATTCATGACCTGGTAACAGTGCATGTCTCTGGTTGCAGCATTTTGCAACTCGATTATTACTCTCAGCGATGACAGATTCTTCAACTTTAAATAACTCCATGCCCTTATATAACATCCCAAGAATGAATTTTATCAAAAGACCACATTTCCTAATGAATAGGATTAAAATAATTTCCATAATTACTTGCTATTAACAATTCTCTCATTTATAACTTTAAGCAAAATGTTGGAGGTTTGTCAGAAAACTCTACTGTTTCATGTATGGATGTGTGGGACTGTTATAGTTAGCACGTGTCTAGGAAAGATTTTACTGGGGTCATTGGTTTATGTGGCAGATAAAGCAAAGGCTCTGGAAATGTACGTTCCAATATGGCACTTAAAGTAGTGGAACTGTATTAACACTGCATTTATACAGTGACTTTTTGATTACAGTTGGATCAGAGCCATTCAGTTTACCGCAGCCACAATGTGGCTCATCATAACCCTAATTTTCTTATTAATTATTTCGCTGCAGATAAAAAGTATCAATAAATTGAATATATTCAAAGCTGCCATTCAGAGAGGTAAGGGAGACTCATGAACATCAGAGCATGATGAACATGACAAGTGATCAGCTCATAGGCATCTTTTCTCTATTCCATGACTTGGCATATGTGCCATAGTCCGGGAAGCAGAAGTAGACGAGGAATGCAGTTATCTCAACCCTCTCCTCACTTTTACCACCCCTATCACAGCATATGATCACCAGTATAACAACAGGCCAAGCGGAGTCACATAATTTTGAAGCAGTTTAAGGCAAGACATCTGCTATAAGTCTGATTCTTCCCTTAAAGCACTACAAATCAGGAATGCAATGAAAACCTATATATTCCTGAATGAAACAAACATATAAAGAAGAACAAACTTTATACCCATTAGGTTCAAGGCTTGCTTTCTTCCTTCCATATTAATACAGTATTCTGTCCATGAATCACAGCTGTTCCTTTAGTGGCCTGCAAATAGTCAGGGGGCCTTTCTTGCTATTTTTAGTTCATACTTCCCTTGTCCCATTGGAACTGTCTTCTGCCAGGCTACTATCAACAAAACAGCAAACACTTCAAGTGAAGAAAGTGCCCTCTCTTTAAAAATGAGCATCTTTACTGCAACTCCCAATACTCTGGAGCTATGTTTAAGAGAAGAGCAAACAAATCTCTGCAGATTCCACCTGCCTCTAAAAATAATTACTTTTTTCTGTCATAAACCCCTACCTTCTTTATTCTTTCACATACTGCCTCAATTCAGGGAAGTGACCCCATGGTTTGACCATGTACCTCCATGGGAATGGGGAAACTCATCCAGAAGAATAAAGTTTTAAAAGACAGCCCCCAAAACAATACATGTTCTGGAACATTCAGTCTGGGTGTGAGCAACAAATCCACTGAAACATCAAAGTGGGTGGGAAGAGTGAAGAAGGGGTGGCACCGAGACAGATAAATTGCAGAAAGAGACAGCTATGGGACCTGCCTTGGCAAACCTTCTGAGCTACACTTCCATCTGTTACACATTAATCTGTCTCCACTGGTTTTTAGCCCAATCACCAACGCTGCTCTGAAAAAGAAAGTACAGATAAAAGTGTCAACAACATTCGGTAAGGACAAGATTCTGCTATATACCAGATAAATGGATGCAGGGGAAAGCCCAGCACACAGCAATAGCTCTTGGACCTTATTTTTTCCAACCCTACTCCACACCACTACCTGGAAAGCATACAAAATAAACCATCTTCTCAAAATTCAGCCCAAAAGCCAATTGTTTAAACAGTTTCAATACTTCAGTTTCTGAGAGGTATACATATACACCTTTCTTACGCTATTGCGCGCACACACACACACACCTCCACATAGCCACTGATAATATACAGATGCACCTGGGAGATGTGGGGGAAACTGCCCTGCAACCCCTCCTGGCAATACAAATCCTAGGAAAACAATAATGCAGAGAAAATCTAGTACATAGACTTTTCAACTTGCCTACAAAAAACAGCTTCTTGAGGTAAACAGAACTTCACAAGGCTGATTTCCCATGCAGGTCTGTAGACAAACTTTTCCGGACTTTTGCTTTTATTCTTCTACAGCTTACTAATGTACAATCCTCAGTTCCTGGCTTTTTGAATTTTTACTCAATTATTTATTTATTCAAGGAAGTCATCAGTATTAAAAAAGCTCAAAATGAAACTACAAATGTTTTCTTTTGAGATTATCTTTAAATTAGTTAACTTGAGAACAGAGATTTTTTTACTCTGGGTATCCTAAAACTTAGCAACTGTGAATAAAACAAAAAGGAATATGAAAATTACCAGTTTTTTTTTTTTTTAATCAAAACTATTAGCACTTCTAGGATCAAATTAACAGTATATATTCTGACTCTATAATTCCTTAAAAAAAAAAAAATTCTTAAATTAACATGAATGCTAATATCCCAAACCTCCTTAAGCAACCACACTTTTCCACATTGTTTCATTTGCTTGTAGTCTGGAATAGCTACTGTAAACAAATTTGCAGATTCCTGCATTAGCAACATTTCCCTTTCCAGCATGTCAAGGTCTTGATTTGCCTTGAAGAGGAGAATAGCATTCAATGAAGTATGGCTATAGGATATACCGAGTTTATCTAAACCTGGCAGTGAAATCTCCATGTCCTGTATACATGATTGAATATAAGAAAAGCTGAGAGCAATTATTGCAAAGAGGTTAAAAAGCTACATTTTTGTTGTCACTGAAAGCACCCAATCACTCTACATTTGAAACATAAAAAGAAAAACTGCCATTAATTTATACTTTCTAATAAATATCTTATCTTAATAAATCACTTCTCATTACTTTAAAGTTACATAAAGGCTAACAAAGTCCCCTCACCATGTTTTAAAAAGATCCACTAAAAATTCCAATCTAGACTTCTCTATTCAAGAGCACATGACATTTTAAGAGAACATGAACTAATAATATGTGCAAGTATCCACAATTTTTTAATTTTATCAGTGAGCATATGTAACATAGAAAGAGAAACAAGTGAAACAGATTTGGTGGTGATTTTTAAAACTCACCCCTTGATATTTGACTAGAATTATACCAACTTCTTAAAAGCAAACACACAAACACAACAAAAAAACACAAACAAAACAAAAACCATCCCAGCCCACAACCCACAGATATTTTAATATGTACATCAAAGTATCACTAGGATTTAGTATTGAAAGATTACAAGCAAGTATGTTTTTCTGAGATTCCTTGTTACCTTATCGAGACAAGAATATGTTTTCCACAAACTGAAAGGGACCTTCCATTTTAAGTCTTTCTCTGAACTCTATCTGCTTCCCCTGATGAAACACAGGTACCAACACCTGTCACTGATCATGTTCTCATTAAAAGAAAAAAAAAAAATCTGAGATGAAAAAAGACTGATCACAACGTATATGAAGTGCATTTCCTTCTGTTAACTGCAACCTCCGATGCCTGGAGAGGAGTTACTTTGTACTTTACTGACATAGCTCTCTTCTTAATGGCATTCAATTTTTCAGGCAATTCCTATTTAACAGAGTAAAAAGTATCTTGGAGGAAAGTAAGAGGCATCTCTGTGGAAGCTAAACCACCACCATGGAGAAGGAAATGCTTCATAAACTAAAACTGGTCCCCTAGCCAGAGAGACACAAAGTTAATGAGATCTTCTGTACTCCAGGGCTTTGCTGGTAACATTTGCCACTTTCTCCATAATCCCCTGCCTGATTTCAGACAGATCTAATATGTTGTCCGTAACATAGAATCATAGAATGGTT